GTAATTGATTACAGTTACTAGTTACTACTTCAAAAAAGTAACTGAGTTACAAGATTCTAAAAGTAATTAATTACTTGAAAAGCAACTACTTAAAAAAAAAAAAAAGGTTTAACCCTCTGGGGTCCAGGGTATAACTGGCCATTAAACTACTTTTGATTTGACGTCTACATTTCACCTTTAACCTCCTAGGACCTGGTGTCCACCTCTGTGGACATCACATTTTGGGTTATTTAGACCAAAATACTCAATTTTGCTCTACAAGAGCCTGATATCCACTTAAAAGGACATTATATTGCTACTGTTCTATTAAAGCTGTAGCACCCAGATTACTTACGTGCAGTAAGCTGAACACAGCTTCAACCATCTGTTTGTTAAAAAATAGTAACGCGACCACACTGCATTTTCTTGTTAGTAACGGTAACGGTGTTGTAACAATAGAAATAGTAATTAGTTAGATTACTGAAAAAAGTAACGCTGTTACTTGTAACGCCGTTATTCCCATCACTGTTTATGTCTAAGAGTAAAGTAATTAAAAAACAAAAGGTGTAGATTCTGACAGGGTACCAAGTGGAAAATGTGCCCTAAGCTGTTAACTATGAAGCAATTTGGTTTTTGGCAAGTATGATATATATTGGTTTGTTGGCGCAGTGGCATTTTAAATGATGTTTACCAAGCAAAGTAAAACAGTGCTCAAGCGAAACAGGAGAGAAGACTGCAGGATTATGACTTTGATCATTGCTGTCAATGATTTCGCTGAATATAAAGCCCATAAGGTGAAGTTCTGATTGGGAATATCGTTTGTCTTTGTGTTTTTGTAAATGACTGAAACACTGTTACAACTTATATGTCAAAAACATTCACTCGTACTGTAATATGTGTGTGTAATATGTCTAGAAGATGATCAGAATATCTCCAGACTCTGCCTTTATTTTGATCCCTACACTCTTGGAAAGCATTGTGACTTCATCGCATGTTTTGTTTTGTTTGTCCAATTGTCCATTAACATAAACCATCTACAGTTACCTCCACACCTCTCTATGGTGACTGGTCTTAATTACAGACACTTACATAATCTTCAAGTAGTGAGAGTTCATTATTAGTAAACTTTACATACCTGTGTCAAAAAAACATCATTCACTGACCTTACTATAAATTGTATCACAGTAACGAATACATTTCACAGTTGCGGCACATGAATTTAAGATGTGATCAGTATTTTTTAAATGCTGTACCTGTCCCCAAATGGAGCCTTCAATCTGGAGCGCTTTGTCAAACAGTTGCATCATTTTAATGAACTTCTCTTCACCGTACTCAAAGCGATGGCC